ATTGCCCATTCTTCCTAATAACATTTACTGCACCCTCGTTTTTGGAATTCTGTTCTTCTTCTCTTCCCCTCTCATTCACCCTCTTCCTCTTCATGGGGCCCTTTTTTCCCCCTCTCACCCGTGGGGTCCTCTTCCTCTCTCACCCGTCCGCTTCCTCTTCGTGGGGCCCTCTTTCCCTCGAAGAGGCTCTCCCAAGAGCCAATCGGAACCTTTGGTGTATTGCATTTGGATGATCATTACTCGGCCAATTTATCGGCTGAGAGAGTGGACACCCGAGGCAAGGAGAAGAGGTAGAGAACGAGGGGCAAAGAAGCGGGGAAGGGAAGGAGAGGGGCAATGATGGAAGTACTGGTGAAGAGCTCAGACTTACGCGGTTATAGAGTGAGAGGGGAAAACTGGTGAGTGGGAAGGGTGTTGATGGTGAAGATGCTGGAGGGGAGTGCAGTTATGGTACTAAATGTATACACACACACAGACACACACGTACACGCACCCACTCCCCCCACACACACAGGCTCCCCTGATATGCCTTTGACACAAGGGGAATCCAAAAAAAGGTAGCATTTCAGAGAATTCATTCTGCAGAGAATACATACCATTAACCTCACTCTGATCCTGACCAAATACATTTTAGTCTCTCCTTCTGAAACATTAAAAATACTCTACTAGAAGAATACATGAAACCCTCGACTCGAACCTAGCGATTCTGAGTGGGAATACACAATGTTGAAGGAAGAATGGAACGGAAAAATATTCAAGATGAAAGAAGGAATACAATAGTTCAAGACGCAGTAAATTCCCTCTTGAAGCAGTTTCTTACGAACCAAGATCTCTCTCTCTCTCTCTCTCTCTCTCTCTCTCTCTCTCTCTCTCTCTCTCTCTCTCTCGAGTGCTGACCTTAGGTTTACAAGAGTTCTTTACTTTTACAAAGCTTCTTTATACTTCAGTACTCTGTGATTAAATGTGTTATTATTGTCTCCTCGTTCCCAGACACAGAAGCTGTTTAAAGTGTGTGTGTATGTACTCACCTAATTGTGGTTGCAGGGGTCGAGACTCAGCTCCTGGCCCCGCCTCTTCACTGATCACTACTAAGTCCTCTCTCTCCCTGCTCCTTGAGCTTTATGATACCTCGTCTTAAAGCTATGTATGGTTCCTGCCTCCACTACATCACTTGCTAGACTATTCCACTTCCTGATAACTCTGTGACTGAAGAAATACTTTCTAACATTCCTGTGACTCATCTGAGTCTTCAACTTCCAATTGTGACCCCTTGTTTCTGTGTCCCCTCTCTGGAACATTCTCTGTCCACATTATCTATTCCGCGCAATATTTTGTATGTCGTTATCATGTCTCCCCTAACCCTCTTGTCTTCCAGTGTCGTCAGGCCGATTTCCCCTCAACCTTTCTTCGTAGGACATTCACTTAGCTCTGGAACTAGCCTTGTTGCAAACCTTTGCACTTTCTCTAATTTCTTGACGTGCTTAATCAGGTGCGGGTTCCAAACTGGTGCTGCATACTCCAATATGGGCCTCACGTACACGGTGTGTGTGTGTGTGTGTGTGTGTGAAGATGGAGAGAATGGGGCGGTAAATGCCAAGGTTTGAAGATTTGCTACGTCTGAACAGCACTCAGTGTTGACTCATGGTGAGTGAGATTGGCTGGAAGACCGGCAGCGTCTCTCTGGTGACAGGCTGATGCTGGTTGGTACACCTGTAACTGTTCATGAGCACAAGGATGAACGTAGGAACGTGACGCTCCGTGTTTGTATCTCACCCAAGACTACCAGACACCAAAAATCAATATTTCCCAGTGTTCTTAGCTTCTCGCATGGATCCTGAGCCTTCAGTAAATTCTCCACTTTTGCTCCTTTTGCTTATCTTGTTCCCATTCGTACGTATTTAAATTTCTGGTGTTTCCCTTATCCCCTCATTCTTCCCTCAGTTTTTCCCCTCCGGCAACAATCCTTCATTCGTTTAAAAAAACAACAACATTGTATTGTATTAGTCCAATACGTTAGCAGGTTGGTAAACACACACAAAAAAAGGTTTACATTTTACTGGTGTGTGTATGAGAGTAGACTGGTGTGAATGTTACCCAAGGAAAGTAATGGCTGGCCACCTGCTGTTTACGAGTGCTGTGAATTTGTGTTTATGTGCCAGAAAGAGTAGCGATATTGAACTGTGTTTTTTTATGTGTTTTATGCTTTTTTCCGCCTAAGCACGGAGCTTAATTCTACTTTTTTAGCAGCATTGAACACACCAGCACGGAGCCGCTGTCATATACAATATAAGAGTTACAAAGTAAGAACATCCGCAATGTATGTGTGTGTGTGTGTGTGTGTGTGTGTGTGTGTGTGTGTGTGTGTGTGTGTGTGTGTGTGTGTGTGTGTGTGTGTGTGTGTGTTGTGTTGTGTGTGTGTGTGTGTGTTGTGTGTGTGTGTGTGTGTAGTGTGTGTGTGTAGTGTGTGTGTGTGTGTGTATGTGTGTGTGTGGTGTATGTGTGTGTGGTGTGTGTGTGTATGTGTGTGTGTGGGGTGTTGTGTGTGTGTGTGTGTGTGTGTGTGTGTGTGTGTGTGTGTGATGTGTGTGTGTGTTGTGTGTGTGTGTGTGTGTGTGTGTGCGTGTGTGTGTGTGTGTGTGTGTGTGTATGTGTTGTGTGTATGTGTGTGTGTATGTGTGTGTGTGTGTGTTTTGTGTGTTATGTGTGTGTGTATGTGTGTGTGTGGGTGTTGTGTGTGTGTGTGTGTGTGTATGTGTGTGTGTGTGTGTGTGTGTGTGTGTGTGTGTGTGGTGTATGTGTGTGTGTAGTGTGTGTGTGTGTGTTGTGTGCTAGTGTGTGACTCTGGGTTGATGTGTGTTGTATGTGTGTGTGTGTGATCTGTGTAGTGTGTGTACTCACCTAGTTGTACTCACCTGTTAGAGGTTTGCGGGTCCTGGTCCGAGCTCCTGGCTCTCTTCAACTGATCCTACTGTCACTCTCCTGAGCCGTGACTTTATCATACCTCTGTTACAGCTATGTATCAGGTCCTGCCTCCCTACATCGCTTCCAATATTCCCTTACTGACTACCCCTGTGGCTGAAGAAATACCTTCCTACATCCTGTGATTCATCTGTGTCCTTCAGCTTCCAACTGTGTCTTGTTATGTATCCAATCTCTGGAACATCCTGTCTTGTCCACCTTGTCAATTCCTCTCATATTTTGTATGTCGTTATCATGTCCCCCTCTATCTCCTGTCCTCCAGTGTCGTCAGGTTGATTTCCCTTAACCTCTCCTCGTAGGACATACCTCTTAGCTCTGGGACTAGTCTTGTTGCAAACCTTTGCACTTTCTCTAGTTTCTTCACGTGCTTGGCTAGGTGTGGGTTCCAAACTGGTGCCGCATACTCTAATATGGGCCTAACATACACGGTGTACAGGGTCCTGAATGATTCCTTATTAAGATGTCGGAATGCTGTTCTGAGGTTTGCTAGGCGCCCATATGCTGCAGCAGTTATTTGGTTGATGTGCGCTTCAGGAGATGTGCCTGGTGTTATACTCACCCCAAGATCTTTTTCCTTGAGTGAGGTTTGTAGTCTCTGACCCCCTAGACTGTACTCCGTCTGCGGCCTTCTTTGCCCTTCCCCAATCTTCATGACTTTGCACTTGGTGGGATTGAACTCCAGGAGCCAATTGCTGGACCAGGTCTGCAGCCTGTCCAGATCCCTTTGTAGTTCTGCCTGGTCTTCGATCGAGTGAATTCTTCTCATCAACTTCACGTCATCTGCAAACAGGGACACCTCAGAGTCTATTCCTTCCGTCATGTCGTTCACAAATACCAGAAACAGCACTGGTCCTAGGACTGACCCCTGCGGGACCCCGCTGGTCACAGGTGCCCACTCTGACACCTCGCCACGTACCATGACTCGCTGCTGTCTTCCTGACAAGTATTCCCTGATCCATTGTAGTGCCTTCCCTGTTATCCCTGCTTGGTCCTCCAGTTTTTGCACCAATCTCTTGTGTGGAACTGTGTGTGTGTGTGTGTGTGTGTGTGTGTGTGTGTGTGTGTGTGTGTGTGTGTGTGTGTGTGTGTGTATGTGTGTGTGTGGGTGTATGTGTGTGTGTGTGTGTGTGTGTGTGTGTGTATGTGTGTGTGTGTGTGTGTGCGTGTGTGTGTGTATGTGTGTGTGTGTGTGTGTGTGTGTGTGTATGTGTGTGTGTGTGTGTGTGTGTGTGTGTGTGTGTGTGTGTGTGTGTGTGTGTGTGTGTGTGTGGCTATAATATTTTGTAAGAGCTCTGTGTTGTGGAAGAAAAGTTCGGTATGTTTCCTTGTCATATTCCATCACATAGATGGTGTTCCCCAGTCATATTCAATCACACAAGATGGGTTTCCCTATCATATTTCACCACATAGGATGGTGCTTCCCTGTCATATTTCACCACATAGGATGGTGCTTCCCTGTCATATTTCACCACATAGGATGGTGCTTCCCTGTCATATTTCACCACATAGGATGATGCTTCCCTGTCATATTTCACCACACAGTATGATGCTTCCCTGTCATATTTCACCACCCAGTATGATGCTTCCCTGTCATATTTCACCACACAGTATGGTGCTTCCCTGTCATATTTCACCACACAGTATGGTGCTTCCCTCTCATATTTCACCACACAGGGTGGTGCTTCCCTGTCATATTCCATCACACATGGTGGGTTTCCCTGTCATATTCCATCACAAATGGTGGGTTTCCCTGTTGTATTCCATCGCACACCATGGGATTTCACTGTCCTATTTCATCACACAGGATGGGTTGCAAAAGGTGGTGAATGTTTAAAAGAAAGTAAGGAGGCCAGCAATGTTACGAGAATGTCATCATTATTCCACTGTGTTCAGCAGCTACGGATGCTTCCTGGGGTTTTCTTCAGTTACGGTGTTACTTACGGCTGCTTACTGGGGTTTTCTTAGTACGGTGTTACTTACGACTGCTTTCTGGGGTTTTCTTCAGTTACGGTGTTACTTACCTCCAAGAGTGAGAACTGAGGTGCCCAAGGCAGAGTCGTGGTGGCCCTCAGCTCGGCACTGGTACACGCCCATGTCGCCCACACCTACGCCCTCGATCTTCAGCACACGCCCTCGCCGGTCTGGCATCCTCACCCGCGCCCCTGGACGCAGGATACTCCCATCCTTCAACCACGTCACCTGGTTGACCGGTGATCCTGTGGGAGGTGGCAAGTGTGAGAGAGAGGAGGAAAAGAGAGAAAAAGAGAGGGAAGAGAGAAGAAGGAGAGAAAGAGAGAGAGACCCCAGGTTTGACTTTTTTAAAGCCTGGAGCTACGACCCCCTCTAATGGCTAATCAGAAACGTGTTCGACCCTTTTTGACGGTCGAATACATGAGATGATTAAGAGGCGGAGGTAGAAAGAGAGAGAGAGAGAGAGAGAGAGAGAGAGAGAGAGAGAGAGAGAGAGCAGCACAGGAGTCAGGTAGCACCAGATAAAAGACATGGTGAGTAGAAAAGCGAGGGATGGAGTGGTTATATAGTGCACGGAAATTTGAAATCTATGTCTGAATAATTGTTGTCTTAAAACGCATCTGTAACAGATGTAAGGAAGCTACGTTTACCTGTGTCATTCCTGAGATCCTTTTTTCCTGCACGTTCTATAGAACCTTCAGGTCTGACTCGGGTACTTAGCTGTGTTTTAAGTCATGATATCATCAGTGTCATTCCTAACTAACTTTCAGCGCTAACTGTATAATTTGAAGCTTACTAAATATTCCATCTATATTATTCTTGATCTGTTTACCATTCTTCAGCATTACTAACTCTCAACAAGATCTGTATCATTCTTAACTCACTCTCAACACCATCTGTATCATTCTTAACTCACTCTCAACACCATCTGTATCATTCTTAACTCTCAACACAATCTGTATCATTCTTAACTCTCAACACCATCTGTATCATTCTTAACTCACTCTCAGTACCATCTGTATCATTCTTAACTCTCAACACCATCTGTATCATTCTTAACTTTCAATACCACCTATATCATCTCTAACTCACTCTCAGCACCATCTGTATATCAGTAAATCACTCTCAACACCATCTGTATCATCAGTAAATCACTCTCAACACCATCTGTATCATCAGTAAATCACTCTCAACACCATCTGTATCATCAGTAACTCACTCTCAACATCATCTGTATCGTCCCTAACTCACTCTCAGCACCATCTGTATCATCAGTAACTCACTCTCAACACCATCTGTATCATCAGTAACTCACTCTCAACACCATCTGTATCATCAGTAACTCACTCTCATCGCCTTCTGTATCATCTCTAACTGTTAATACCAACTGCATCGTCCCTAGCTCACTCTCAACACTATCTGTATCGTCCCTAAATCATTCTCAACACCATCTGTATCATCTCTGATTGACTCTCGACACCATCTGTATCATCTCTAACTCACTCTCGGCACCATCTTTTCTCAACATCATCTCCTCCTCGCCAGCATCACACTCTCCCCTGTTCATCTCCTGCCTAAATTGAACTCCTGAGGATAAAATGGCCCAATATTCCTCATCACCTTTTAGTCCCTAGCTTCGCTGCTCCTTGACTGAGATAACACAGAGGACAATCATCCGAAATAACATATAGGACAATCACCTGAGATAACACAGAGAACAATCACCTGAGATAACACGGAGGAGAATCACGTGAGATAACATATAGAACAAACACCTGAGATAACGTATAGGACAATCACCTAAGATAACACAGGGGACAATTACCTGAGATAACACAGAGAACTGTCACCTGAGGTAACACAGAGAACAATCACCTGAGATAACACAAAGGAAAATCACCTGAGATAACACAGAGGACAATCACTGACATAACATATTGGACAATCACCCGAGATAACACAGGACAATCACCTGAGATAACACAGAGGACAATCACCTGAGATAACATATAGGACAATCACCTGAGATAACACAGAGAACAATCACCTGAGATAACACAGAGGAGAATCACCTGAGATAACACAGAGGACAATCACCTGACATAACATATTGGGCAATCACCTGAGATAACACAGGACAATCACCTGAGATAACACAGAGGACAATCACCTGAGATAACATATAGGACAATCACCTGAGATAACACAGAGGACAATCACCTGAGATAACACGGAGGACAATCACCTGAGAACATATAGGACAATCACCTGAGATAACGCAGACGACAATCACCTGAGATAACACAGGACAATCACCTGCGATAACAGACGACAATCACCTGAGATAACATATAGGGCAATCACCTGAGATAACACAGAGGGCAATCACCTGAGATATCACGGAGGACAATCACCTGAGATAACATATAGGACAACCACCTGAGATAACGCAGACGACAATCACCTGAGATAACACAAAGTACAATCACCCGAGATAACATATTGGACAATCACCTGAGATAACATAGAGGACAATCACCTGAGATAACATAGAGGACAATCACTGGAGATAACATAGAGGGCAATCACCTGAGATAACACAGAGGACAATCACCTGAGATAACACAGAGGATAATCACCTGAGATAACATATAGGACAATCACCTGAGGTAACACAGAGGACAATCACCTGAGATAACACAGAGGACAATCACCTGAGATAACACAGAGGACAATCACCTGAGATAACGCAGAGGACAGTCACTTGAGATAACATATTGGACAATCACCTGAGATAACATATAGGACAATCACTTGAGATAACATAGAGGACAGTCACTTGAGGTAACATAGGTTATCACTCACCTGCGATAACATAGGTTATCACTCGTCTGAGATAACATAGGTTATCACTCACCTGAGATAACGTAGATTATCACTCACCTGAGATAATAGAGGTTATCACTCACCTGAGATAATAGAGGTTATCACTCACCTGAGATAACACAGGTGAAGTGGGCAGCAGCCCCTGCGTCTACTACTAACGACGGAGGCGTGACTCGAACTGAGAGTGCAGACAGGACTTCCAGCTCCACCTGAGGATTGGGAGAAGCAAAGAGACGTCAGGGAACGAACTGGAGTCGTAGGTGGGTTGAAGAACATCCTATAGAATGTGGATTCTATTTGTATCATGTGAAGGCGGAGTATATGAAGAGAGGTTAGGTGTACTGGAGTTGTAGGTAGTTGAAGAACAGCCTGTAGAAGATAATTAAGGGAACACGAGTGCGTGATTACCTTCGGAGGGTGAAACACCAGGAAGATCAGGGAATGAATGTAGGAAGAGTTGTAGGAGGTTTAAAGGATAATGGGTTTGGGTTTGAGAAAGACCTGCCCAGTATGGGCCAGTAGGCCTACCGCAGTGTTCCTCTTTTCTTATGTTCTCATGGAAATGAAAGTTTGATGTCGTTTCGGGGACCGTCCTGGACCATTAATAAACCTGTGACGACAACCTACGTGTAAAACAGCGACGCCAATTTACTTGTGAAAGAGCGACCCCAACCTACTTGTAAAACAGCGACGCCTTCGGTGTTGTTGGCGTAGCAGCGGTAAGTGCCGGCGTCGATGTCCTCAGTGGCCATCAAGGTGAAGACGGGACCAGACACCTTCATCCTGGACGTCTGACGTCCACCAGCAGCACCAGCAACGCCAAGGGGGATGTCCACGCCACTTCCTTGCTGGTACCACCTGGTGAAAAATCATACACCGAAATCCTTCACTGTTACTCGAAAGAAACCGGGACTGGCTGACTCATATTTCACCGAATCCTCAAAAATTTCAGGGATCACAACTGGAGGACCGAAAGTCACAGACAACACTCAGTAAGTTTCATGCGGCCCTCTTAGCCTATTACAAAAATAATGATCTATTACTGCATAATGCCTAAATCAGTAAGTCAGGACAACATTTTTGAGGAAAATTCAACACTGAATAAGGTACACGTATTAAATGTAAAAATTGAATAAACTTATAATAACAAGAGGGATTGTTGTCTTAAATTTATATGTGGCTACATATTACCAAATTAACTGAAATTTGGCCAAATAAGGAATTAAAAGACACAGTACCGTGACCAGAACTATACACAAATAAGCCGCACGACCTGAACAAGACTAGTCAATGGTCTAAGTTGAACCAGAACGTCGTCACAAGTATCAGTCTCCTACACGCGTATTATTTATGTTTTGGCACAATACTAACAATTATGACATTCAGAGTTAAGGATGCACATGAGTCATCAGTCAGAGGTTGTATAAATTAACATGATTACATCATGTTGTTACTCTCACAGCTATAGTACTTAATTTAAGTGTTATGTATAGTGTTTTTCTAAATTATGACGGGAGAGGGTAGAGTGAATGTAGGGAGTCACAGTGTAGGTTGGGAGAGTGTTAATGTGCCTATAAAGCTGCTATTAAGATGTCTGCAACAAAATCATCTGCTTCATAGAAGATGCACTATGAATCATGTCGCAAGAGCTTCTCAACAAATAACAAGATCAGGTCATTCAAAAGATTTATGTCTCAAAAATAAAATATCTTTAAAAGGAGTATTGGTGAAAATTTATATTGAGTGCAGACCAACTAACACTTTCCTTAATACATTGCTGGAAGCGGCAGATCCCTCACTGGTGGGAAGCTTGTGAAGATGTGCATAGGGAGAGGACAAGATTCCTTGTATCAGGAATGTAAGTTTATCTGCACCTACTATCACCAGTCGCCTTGAAGACATGGGAGACTAACTGGATCCTATTGATTGAAAAGGCAATACATAGTAAGCATTTCCCAGTATCACTAGAAGAGAGCAACGACATTGTAAACACAGTATAGTTTCTTATTTTTATATGGGGCATAGATTCTAATTTTGAAATTACGAGGGAATTGTGCGCATTGTAGAGTATGAAAGTCACTACTACTGCAGAGAAATGTATTCATAAAGATATGTGAAACTGAGAGCAAGCTTAAACTGGGTTGGGACAAACTAAAAAGTGTGCGACAACCGACGATGCAAAGAACATTTTTGGGGAAGTAGAGTTTGTATAGTTGCGTGAATTTTATCAGGCATCATGGCCTGAAACATTGCCGGTTTCTACGTTTTTATATGAGACGTATTCATATTATCAGGATGCACTTTACGATGATAAAGTCAGGATGTTTTTGTTCTGGGTTTTGCAATGTTATCTGTCACACTGAGAAAGGAAGTGATCAAAAAGCATTTTATGTCCGTGAATGAATTTAAGAATTGGCTTTCTTGAGCGACGTAAGAAAACATTTGAATAATTTGGTTCTAAGGATGCTGGGTAAAGGGAAGCTGGTTTAAGACATGTATGCTGAGCTGTAAGTTTTTGAGGGAAAATATAAAAATGTTTGTGAAGCAAGTCACAAAGGTAATTTTCCACTCTTTCTCTACTCAAAAGAACTCTCCTTCAACAATAAAATGAATTCGCGAATCCCTGTAGAAATATATTGGAACATTAAAGCTCCTGCAGTGACTTCAAGATTTTTTTTTTTTTTTGAGATTTCCAAAAGCATAGGCAGGACATAAGAATATTTCGTAATTCATTTGAAGATTCACTACAAGACTCAAATAAAATCTATCAAATAGAACACACTGATTTGCATGCCATCGATGCTGTCAGAGAGATTTACATGAAATTATGTATAAGCCGTCCCGACACATATTAAGCCTAAGTTTGTCACAGATATGTTCACATTCACTGGCGGCACATACATATATGAACAAACTTTTTCAAAGATGCAAATAGTTATGCTCTGACTTAACAGTTTCATGATTGCTAGTCGCAAATATTGAAATAAATATTTAGGTTCTCTCTGCTGAACTGTAGCCACAAACATCATATTAAAATTAAGTAAATAAAACGCTTTCGGTGTTAATGCTTATCTATGCATATTAGTTAATGTGACTGAACATTAATCTTTCGGTATATTCAGTTTCGTTTTGCCATGCCTATGATTACAACTTATTTTAAAATAAGTCGCAAATTTACTTTAATCACAGATTATTTCAGATGTGATCATTATTTGGGAAATTAATTGAGTGATTTCTGGAAGAGGTTCACTGACTCTGATTCGTTCTTGCAGTTTATGAGAGTAATTCTTTTTAAGGTTATTACTGTTACTACGTTAGTTACTATTCAGACTCACCCTGTGTTTGAAGGCGCGACCATCGTCACACATTTATTAACGTAATGTGACTTACTTGAACAGAAAAATTGGGCACCATTGATTCTATATGGAATTTTTTAACTATAACTTGATAATGTGAGTAGTCACGAAAGCGCTTGGAATTTCTCTATTCTTTCACAGTGGTTGTTTTGTATATATATATATATATATATATATATATATATATATATATATATATATATATATATAATATATATATATATATATATATATATATATATTATATATATATGTCGTGCCGAATAGGCAGAACTTGCGATCTTGGCTTAAATAGCAACGCGCATCTTGCCATACAGGACAAGTGAAAATTTGTGTATGCAATAATTTCGCCAAAATCATTCTGAACCTAACGAAAAAAATATATTTCACTGTGCTTGTTTAGTATTAAATTATTGTAAACAAATCTAAAATATATTTAGTTGGGTTAGGCTAAAATAAATTGTTCTTGTTATAATAAGGTTAGGTAAGTTTTTAAGATTCTTTTGATGCAAAATTAAAAATTTTTACATTAACATTAATGAAAAAAATATATCTTTAAACTTATAAGAGAAAATTTTAGAAAGGACTTAATTTTAAATGAGTTCTTGCTAATTGACCAGTTTTACATATTCGGCACGACATATATATATATATATATATATATATATATATATATAATGTCGTGCCGAATATGTAAAACTGGTCAATTAGCAAGAACTCATTTAAAATTAAGTCCTTTCTAAAATTTTCTCTTATACGTTTAAAGATATATTTTTTTCATAAATGTTGATGCAAAAAATTTTAATTTTGCACCAAAAGGAACTTAAAAAACTTACCTAACCTTATTATAACAAGCGCAATTTATTTTAGCCTAACCCAACTAAATATATTTTAGATTTGTTTACAGTAATTTAATGCTAAACAAACACAGTGAAACATATTTTTTTTCGTTAGATTCAGAATGATTTTGGCGAAATTATTGTATACACAAATTTTCACTTGTCCTATATGGCAAGATGAGCTTTGCTATTTAAGCCAAGATCGCAAGTTCTGCCTATTCGGCACGACATATATATATATATATATATATATATATACATAATATATATATATATATATATATATAATATATATTATATATATATATGTATATTATATATATTATATATATATATTATATATATATATATATATATATATTTTATATATATATATATATATATATATATATATATTATATATATATACATATTTATATTCAATAAGTCGGCCGTCTCCCACCGAGGTAGGGTGACGCAAAAAGAAAGAAAATCCCCAAAAAGAAAATATTTTCATCATCATTCAACACTTTCACCTCACTCATACATAATCACTGTCTTCGCAGAGGCACCCAGGTACAACAGTCTAGAAGCATATATAAAGATATATAACATACCCCTCCAAACTACCAACATCCCAAACCCCTCCTTTAAAGCGCTGGCACTGTACTTCTCATGGTGCTATTAATTCCAGTACAGATTTATACACTCTCCAAGTCATTCTACTTTGTTCCATTCTCTCTAAATGGCCAAAACACTTCAACAATCCCCTAATACTTTTAGTAACTCCACACCTCTTAATTTTCACACTTCGAATTCTCTGCATAATATTTACATCACACATTGCCCTTAGTACATCTCCACTGCCTCCAGCCTTACCTTTGTTGCAACATTCACTACCCATGTTCCACATCCATATAAGAGCGTTGGTATGACTATACTCTCATGCATAAGAACGTAAGAACATGGAAAAGAAGGAACACTGCAGCAGGCCTACTGGTCCATGCAGGGCAGGTACAAATCTCCCACCGGCTTAAGTCAGTGCCTTCTTAACCTAGTCATGTATGTATGTATAATGTTCGCCAAGACCGTAGTCCTGGCACGGGTCTCAATCTTGCGATGACCCGTCCTGGCTCACGAGGGAGGAAGGGTTTCTACGATGATGCGACGTATGCTGCTCATAGTACTCTGTTGACCAGTCACTGGTGCATCTTCGTAAGCGAAACACCATTATGTACTCCTAACTATGGACACTACAGAAGAGGATATGTCGTTATCACGGGGTGTAACAGCTGTCTGGTTCGCTTGACTCCATGGACACTAGTGTGGCCGCAGTCATTCTCTGGGTCCTCTATCGGAGGGAATATCACTCCTAGTCCTGCGAAGTGGTCTCAGTAACTTCGCACTCTCAGAAGTAGTGTGTTAGGCGGCCGCTGGACAACGTGGCTGGCGTACTGGCACATATCCTCCTCATGTCTGTTACCAGCATCTTGGCTGTGGAAAGCCCAAACATACCGATGGATGGCGGTATCACTGCGCTCTGGACCAGATTCTATCATATGGAGGGGTTTCCCTGAGTCGTGACTGTTACCACTTGTTGAGGATGGGGTATCACTTAAGACCTCTGCCATAAGTTTCATGGCTCTGGCGGCCCCAGTTTGGTCTGTCGTAGGCTATGGGGAAC